GAAGACTTCTGCTTCAGTGGAAGCAACTGGGCTGGGAAAGGGTTACCCACCTCATGGCACGTAAGGCTAATTTATAGGACAGGTCTGGATCATGTGGCAGTAGAGCTGAGAACAAATACTTGGCAAAGGTATGCATGGGAACACTCTCTCGGTGAATGACTTCTCCCAGACCACTGAAGGGGCCTCCTGCAGGAAGAAGGTAAGCCAGCTAGTTATTTATTAGTATGCTTCTATTTTCCAGCCTAGACTTGAGCCCTAGGATCCCACACGTTTGCTAGCCATGGGAAATTTCAGTACACTTTAATGTCAAAAATGTTTCTGTACCTGTGCTCTATTATAGAGGGGAACCCAGAGTCTCAGGCCAAAGATAATATAACAATAGCCCTTTTTCTACTTACCTTCCAGTAATAAGATGCACTGTTTCTGCAGTGTTTGCACTAGTTCATCGTCCAGCTGCAGCTCCTGGAGTTGACTCAGGAGCTGCTCCTCATTACGACACACCTTGTCCTGTGCATAGAGACCTTCAGGCATCACCCTCTGTTGACCCATCCCCATAAGAGCAACTTCCAGGGCCAATGACAGGTAGGACTCACTGTTGTTTGGGCAGCCTGCAGCCACGGGTACATGCTGGTACACAGGGGGTCTGCTTTCATTCATATCTGAGGACAAGAGGTCACCAAATTCCTTAGATCAGGCCCCGTGAATTCTTCTGCTCCTCTCTCCCTCCCACTCTGGGATACAGCTTGGTCAACAGCTATCACAGGAAGCTGAGTCAGAATCCCAGAACAATAAGGAAAATATACTGAAAAAAGGCTACACAGAGCCACAAAGATTCCTAGCGCCTTCCTAGTATATGAACTGGCTATGCCAGTTGGGGAAGTATAAAATCTTATACTAATCTTTTGCTAGCACATGATAATACCATGATTATCTGTTTTTGTGTCTGTCTCTTTCACTAGAGTGTGAGCACCTTAACACGTTAAGCGCCATGTCAGTCACCAGCATACTTTCTATTCGGGCTGTGACTGATGATACAATTTAAAAAA